TGACAAAAAATTATTCAATTTGCATGACTACCCACATAGCTCAGTTGATTTGTACTATGTCAGCAATGTGAGCGATCGCTGGTTCGAATCCAGTATGTTTAGTTAGATTTTTGAATGCTAGTGAAGACAGTGCTCCTATGAATAGGACTTAAATCCTATTATTTGTGTGAAGACACTCGTGGTACAGTGGACAAGACAGTGCGCTGGGAACTCAAAGATCGCAAGTTCGAATCACGTCGAAGTCGACGAAGAACGAACACAGTTGACAGCTGTAGGTCACGTGCAACAACAGACACGAGGAGCATGGCTGCTCTCCAAATGGGTCCCTTCTTTTGTATTGACCCCCTAATGATTACTGATCCCCCTTTCTAACTCTTCCCCCCAAAATAATATATCGCCCCTTTTAAAATGTATTGACCCACAAATTAATGAATATTCATGAGCACAGAAACTGCTACGTCATGAATAAATTAGCATAATTAAAAAAAAATTTGCATAAAGTGTAGGTACGTCTTCTGGAGTCCTGCCGAGTCTGGTTCGGATGGAGTCCTACGCGCGATTTTATTGCGCTCAAGGACGTTATATTTTCGAACTAGTTGAAACCGGAAATAACGCAACTACTTTCGAACTTCAAACACAACTTTGATTATCGTTATTATGTGTTAGTTTCTGTTGTTTCAAAGATTGAATTATGTATGACAATAATATTTCACTCTATAAACAATGTTTCACTAAAATATGTGATTCAAAGGCAACCCAAATTGTAAAAAAGCAATATCAAGTTCCGCATATAAACACTGTTGTAAAGAGGCGCCGGAGCGGAATTTTAGCCAAAATCGGCTAGTAAGGCGTCATATGACACAGGTCTGTGCTGGGACAGCGCTTCCGGTGACGACACAACGGGGCATGGCGATCTAGTAGTTGCAACGAAGTTGCATGGTTGTATGTTGTCTTCTGTCTTCGCCACGTGTGTGATATCTAGTCTACAAATAAGCATGTATACCTATATTTCAAATGGCGAAAATGTGATGAACATAAAGAAAATCCACTTTTCTTGAGTACATCACATTTTCGCGGATGGCTGTCCCAATATATGTTGTGCCGGAAGTAGTCACGTGGTGACCTTGTAAACAGACTGAAGACGTACTCAGCATTGACCTTTCCACCTTGTTGAGATATGTGGGAATGAGAAAAATCACTAGATTTAGTCAGAGGTACATTACTTGGGGTTTGCAACTCGCATAGTACTGTATGGTGACATCATGTCAAGATCCCATTCAAGTCTCTTCTCGTAGATAGCGAGACTGAGGCTACGACCTTCTGACATGACGCATATCAATGTTCAAGGTTTGTTATGAAAAAAATAAACTTTTCTTGTCACTATCATAGTGAAAAATGTAATACATCGAAAATGTACAGAAAATATAGTTCTCGTAATCCGTCATATCGTGGGCAGCTATTTTGATCCACCTGGACATCCCAGTATCCTAGTTACCTCGGGCATGCGCATGCGCATTTTTTCTGAGTTGGAACGCTTATGCGAGAGCGAGATTGTGATGGGATCTTGGTATCATGTCACCGGAGTTACAAACCCCAAGTAATGTACCTCTGATTTAGTATATATATCAAGTTGGTGCCACACACAATTCTTGCGTCTCCGCTGATTAAAATTTGACCCGAAACACTATTCAAAGTTGAAATATTTTCAGTCTGTTGCCAGAAAATGATTGCCTTAACATTGAACAACATCCAGTAGGTGCTTTATCATGAATGAGCTGTCTCACTTTGCATAATTTGTTAAAACAACAAGCCGAATGGCACAGAAATGGCACTGGTCCAAACTCTTAGAGTATCGTATATAGATTTCTTCCATACTCCCTTCTATATATTGAAATTGCCAAATACTTAAAAGTGTAACTGAATAAGGCCAATTGACTTTTTTTGTGTGCAAAATTTATTTATAAACAACATTATGAAAAAAAAATCAAGTGAAAAGGGTATATAATGGCGCCACCAACGAGACAATAAAGCAGGAGATAGCTAGCAGACAAGATGTTTTATCATTTTCCATACGCACGCGTTTAGTAAACCAGCATATACAACGAGTTACCACGATCGTTATCATGGGGAAACGCTGTGTTGTTGGCGGGTGTAGTAACACACACGGCAATCGCGCAAATGCGTTCCCAAAAGATTCAAATTTACGACATCAGTGGACCAAAGCAGTCAAGAACACCAGGAAATATTGGGATGGACCTTCTCCTTATAACGTTATCTGCGTTAGTGCTCATTTTATGCCCGAATCATTTATCAGTACAGGTTCATGTGTTTCGATCTTGCAGTTGTAGGTATTTGTCCTACCGGAAATAGAACATGTGATGTATCGAACGCACACAAATTTATATTTTAGAGTGCAGATTTTCTAACATTACCGATACATTGTTCAGGTGGAGTTTAATAAAAATAACAACGTTAAGATTTTCGGTCACAATGTTCAAACTCTGTGCCTGAATCGTCAGTCATTTTGGGGAGGTACACGGTCACCCACATTGCGTACTTTTCTCGCAGGTTCAAACCTGTATGGGCCACTTTGTCCCTGGCACTCTAAAACAAAATCGTGACATCTCTCGTTGTCATCATATTCCTCGATCTCACAACTCTCGCCAGATGATGATAAGATAGATTCCGTGCCGCTTTCAGAGCACTGCATGCGTATAGCGACCATTGTGAAACGATGACAAATTCACGCCTGTGACGTCACAAATCACCCTTGTATGCTAATTCACTACGTTCAATTACCCATCATAGGTTCGCCAGCTGGAGCCTCGTTCTGAGTCGGCCAAGAAATTGGACGTGGGTGTTTCCTTATCCAGAACATTTTTCACTTGATTTTTTTTCATATTAGTACAAACAGTACAAAACAGAAAGGATACTGGCCTTCTTTCTAGACTAAGACTAAGTGCACATAAATTAATCATTGAATCTGGAAGACACCAAAAACCAAAAATAAAAATTGAAGATAGGAAATGTGCAAAATGTAATATTACTGAAGATGAGCTACACTTGTTCACATCATGCACTGAGGCCAGAGTAAGATTATACACAAAGTTCTCAGAATCAATTGAAAATTTTGTTCAAGCAAATAATACAGAAAACAGACTGCTGAGAACAGACCATTGATAAAAGAATTAATTAAATACATCAAAACAGCATATACAACAAGAAAACAATATTATCAATGTTAAACAAAAACTCATGGAAATGTAATATTCAAATTTTTATCTTCAAGTACCAGTAATATTTCTTTACTATATCTTTATGCTAAGTATAGTTTTAGTTTTTTAGAATAGTTTGTTATACCTTTATTACATTTGTATTCACCTAAATTGAATTTCTTTCAATATGGTTGTAATAAAGAATTATCTTATCTTATCTTATCTTATACATGTATATACAAATGTTATCTATAGATCTTGCTTCAAGAATGGCTGTTGATTGCTCTTGCTATGCTCGGTATTATGCCCCACACCTAGGATAACCAAAAAATGTCTTATTATTCTGAAGTTGTTATTCCTCCTAATCCTGATACTGGGCCGCGTTAACGCCATGACCATGGATTGCAGTTCTCTGATATATACATGACAGGTTATTACATGGTGTAGTCCTTCGTCTTTCAGAATATAGCAAATTTTGAAAAAAAACAACATTATTTTGTTGTTGTTGTTGTCAGACGACTACTGATCAACACAGTATCAAAGCTGTAATCAATGTTTTTGTATCATGCTAAAGTCTAAAATGTACATATTAATTTATTTGTAATTTTAATAAAGCCATGGATGAATAGATGTAAACTCAAACAAGAGTTACACTCGTTTGTATAAATCAGTTGGTTGAATCAAGTTTATTGCTTTTACTTATATAACTTTTCCAATAATGAAAATCAAAAAGACATCACTTCAGTATAGATTATTATTATAAATTACAGGGACTTGTTGATGTATTATGTGAAACATGTGAGCAGTTGAAATGGAAAGAACCTACAAAAATACAGAGAGAATCCATTCCCCTGGCGTTGGAAGGTATGAATTATATCCTTAGATGTTACATAATGATATTCAGCATAACATGTACAATTGAAATTGCATTTCTATCAAATAATACATCAGTCTATGAACCATTGAATGAGAACTAGATACATGAATTATAAGACTAAACTAAAGGAGTTTTTATATTACATGAAACATTGACCAATCATACATCATCACTGACACATGGTTAAAGCAAAGACAATCTCTTTCTATTGTCTAAGTATAACTTTCAAAGCAGTACATAATGATGAGATCCCAGTGCAATGCAAACTCAAGTCTGTCTTGTTTGGAAATATTGAAATCCTATACCAGAAGCTGATGTAAATGATGCATAATTTAATCAATGATGAAAACAAATTAGGGATTATAAATTCAATATTCTATTTTCAAATTCAATTTTGCAACTTTTGTGGTACCATTAATTCCTATTGTGATGTTACCCATATCGAAACTAACCCAATTATTAAAAAAGGAGGAGATATTTACTTGATTAAATATTATTTTAGCAGATTTATTATTGCTGGGATATTCACTACAATACATTTTATTGTCAACTTAACATATTCACAAGATTTTAATTTATGCACATTAATAGCAAAATAATCGAAAATTAAATTAAGCTCTATACAATATTGCTGACTATATCTAAATGAAGAACTGCAGGTTAAACAATAATTTGTAAAATAAAATAATATTTTGTTTTCAATAAAATTATTTGTGGGCTTCTGTATTACAGGGAAAGATGTAATAGGTCTAGCAGAAACAGGATCTGGGAAGACTGGAGCCTTTGCTCTGCCGATATTACAAGATTTATTAGAACACCCACAAAGGCTATTTGCATTGATATTAACGCCCACAAGAGAATTGGCATTCCAGATATCAGAACAGTTTGAAGCCCTTGGATCAGCAATTGGAATCAAATGTGGTAACTATCAGCTGATCTACACTATCCAATCACCTTCCATCTCAAACATCAGCTGATCTACACCATCCAATCACCTTCCATCTCAAACATCAGCTGATCTACACCATCTAATCACCTTCCATCTCAAACATCAGTAAATATACACAATCCAATCACCTTCCATCTCAAACATCAGCTGATCTACACCATCCAATCACCTTCCATCTCACACATCAGCTGATCTACACCATCCAATCACCTCCCATCTCAAACATCAGCTGATCTACACCACCCAATCACCTTCTATCTCGGACATCAGTAAATATACACAATCCAATCACCTTCCATCTCAAACATCAGCTGATCTACACAACCCAGTCTATCAAGAGATACACTGGTCTATATGTACCAATGACTGTCACAGCTATGTAACGTCTACAAATGTTTATTTTCAGCTGTGGTTGTAGGTGGTATTGATATGATGTCACAGGCTTTACAGCTGGCAAAGAAACCACATGTTGTCGTAGCAACACCGGGACGATTAGTGGATCATTTAGAAAATACAAAGGGATTTAACCTCAGATCTGTTAAATATTTGGTAGGTTATAATCCAAGCCAGTGATTGGTTTGATATTGTCACATGTCAAGTGCATCAATCATTCATTGGTCTGTTATAGTATTAATTTGAATAATGCCTTGAGTGGTTACTAAAAAAGTAAAATTCACCAGGGTACAGGCTTTAAATTTATATTCTTGTAACAATTTTATGTATTTAGACAAACATTGTTACGTAAATGTGTGACCTGGTCACGCATCCTGGTACTTTCTAGAGGTGTAACTGAGAAATTTTAATAATTTTGCCAACAACATGCAAGCAGCGTAATGTTCAAAAACTGCTTATCGGTAACATTGCAAAAATTGAATATTAGACAATACCTCTACAAAATGCCAGGATGTATGACCCCTAGGGGTCATATATGTAGTTATGTGTAGAAATAATAATTACTGCTTATTTACATATATGCATAGGTGATGGATGAAGCTGACAGGATTTTAAACATGGATTTTGAGATTGAATTGGATAAGATTTTAAAAGTGATTCCAAGAGAAAGAAGGACTTATCTATACTCGGCAACCATGACTAAAAAGGTGAGTCTCCCTGACATGCCTATATTGAAAATAATCTTCCTCTTTGGATGAAAAATCTTTCATACTGCTGGCAGTACCCGGTAATGTGATTCAAACCCATGCACCTACTGATAAGTATCATTGATAAGCACCAGTTTACTTGACTTGTGTAATGCAAGGCATTTCTAGTACTCATACTCAAGTAGGGTTGCTAATTAACTTGTATTATAAAAATAAGACTTTTCTCGCACTTGTTGATAACTATAGTTTGATATGATGGCAAAACACATTGGTGTTGTATAATATTTTAAACAATTCCACATTGCGCTGAAATGTACAACACAAGAACAAGTTTTCTGTAACGATTTTTTGTCTGTTGTCATTAGTAGGACAAATTATTATTTGCTCTAGAGATGCATCTATGGCCAAAATAAACAATGATCCAGTATGCAAAAAAAAATGTTTGTTTCATGTGCATTTCTATTTGAGATATACTTCCAATAGAACAAATGCAACATTCATATTTAAATTACCATCCTATTGTTCTGATTGGTGGATTGTATTATATAATTGTAGGTTGCTAAGTTACAGAGAGCATCATTAAAAAACCCAGTGAAAGTAGAAGTCAATACTAAATATCAAACAGTAGAAAAGTTACTGCAGTATTATCTTTTTATTCCAAGTAAATACAAGGTGAGTTATTACATGCTGGAACTTTATCACTGCTTATTAACATTTTTGGCACCAAGGTTAACCTCAAGCGTCATCCACAAAATAGTTCCATTTGTCGTCTGCTTCTTTCCACAGAAATTGTTGACAAAAAATTTCAATTTTTTTGATCGAAAAATAGAAGCAGCATCACATTTTATCTGTTTGGTTCAAAATTAAGAATGAATTCAGTGAAAATTAGAGAAAATGTGAACAAATTTACCCATTTTGAGTAGGAACAAAATTTGACACTCAAGGGATTAAAATTAAAGCCTTCATATGAATCACATTGACAGGATACAAAATCATTAAAATACTACATACCCTGTTATTTATGTAAGTGCATGCACTGCTAATAGAGAAAATACAGTAACTTTGATTTTAGATTTGTGGTTGTCATTATGTTAGGCTTTCACTGCCATGTTTTCGAAATGAAAATCATAATAAATGTGATGTGACACTAGTGACTTTCTATTGATTTGAACATCACAGAATTCCTGTATACTTGTTTTACAGGATGTGTATTTGGTTTATATATTGAATGAGTTAGCTGGTAATAGTTTCATGGTGTTCTGTAGTACTTGTAATAACACACAGCGTGTTGCTTTGATGTTACGTAATCTTGGATTGACGGCTGTACCCCTACATGGTCAAATGAGCCAGGTACGTATACAGTAGATGTCTGTGGTGTACTCATGCATAATGACATAGTACCAAGGTGTTTGTAAGAAATTCGGTCAAAACAAATGGCATTATCTGCCATTAACATAGAATTTATTATAATTAGTGGTCAGACCTCTAGATTAAACTGCAGTACAGCACTTGAGGATACAATGCTTGAATATTATAATTCACCAAATTTTCAGTGCAAAATTTTTCAATAATTTTTGACTCCCATGTGCAAAGCACATAATGGGAGTCTTTGCAGTTAGTGTGTCTGTGTTTTTGTTTATTTTTGATCAAATGTACATAATATACCATTAATTTAAGGTCTTGATCAACATTTCTGAAAAAATACAGAAACAATTTTGCAGGTTTATTTCGTGAAAGGTGACAAGTTTGCGTTTAAAGTTAACATCAGCATTCAAAGGTTTAATTAAGTTTAGTTTGTGATTTGTCTAACATGAATATGTAATACCCATCTATGTGATGTCTTTCATTTAATCAGTGTAATGTTGATTAATACAAAAGATGACAATGGTTATTGGTTATCATGTGATCATACTCTCGTTCTCTTTCAAAGTATGTCATGTTCGCGTTCACTCTCATCGACATGGACTACACTTTGTATTTTCTTTGAACAGAACAAAAGACTTGGAATGTTGAATAAGTTCAAAGGCAAGGACAGGTCAATTCTCATAGCAACTGATGTTGCCAGCAGGTAATCTTCTCACACTGTACAGTTAACAAAAAAAGGTAATATGAGGTTATTAAGAGGATACTGCAAAGTATGCATGAAGACAGTACAGCGAGAGTATCGATCGATGCGCAGCAGCGGTCTGTGCATCTGTCGATATGACTGTGTACTGTCTGAGTTATGCTTCATTTCCTCCCAGGAATACATCATGGGAATGCCCAAATACAAAAAGTTTAAAACAGAATCAGCAAACTTTTTTGTGTGGGCTTGGGTCAAACCCTGGAGGCGGCCATGTTTGTTTTTATTATTAGAGGACGCTTACGTGCATAATCGATCCATATTTGGAATTCACGTTTCCTTATATGGTAGAATGAAAATAACCAGTACAATACTGCAAAATTACGGCACGCTGTAACTTATAGCGTTACGGTGACAGATGTATCATAATTATAGTGTTTATTGTACAGCAAGGTTATCCAATAGTGACACTAATAATTTGATTATTTATGGCAACACAATTTTGACAGACAAGCGTCCAGTTGTATGAATTTTGACCAAGTTTAAATTCAAAATGGAACTCAATACTAGGAAAATTTTAAAACTAGTATTGTCATTTATTTGATGGCTTTTGCTCAACAAAATATGAAGAATTTGTATAAATTTGAGTTGGCGTTTTTGAACTAAAGCATCATTTCTGTGCTTGTAAATGATTAATTTTTGTGTTTTTTTCCTCAGAGGTCTGGATATTCCACATGTTGACATAGTAATCAATTTTGACATACCAACACATTCAAAGGTAAATAAATTTGTGTATGTCGTATCAAGTGTATTGGCCTGGTTAAAATCTGATGTAGGCATAGACTTTATTATGTTTTCAGCTTAGAAGACAGTAAAAAAGATGAATAATGGCAAAAATATAAAAGGACAAGGTGGAGCCTATATATTAAGTTTTAATACAATTTTGAGTGTAAATGCCGTTAAGTATGAAAGAAAAAAAACTTGTTAACAATGGAAATGTAAAATGTTTTGCTTTTAATCTCCATAAATAGGACTACATACATAGAGTTGGAAGAACTGCTAGGGCAGGAAAATCAGGAAAAGCCATCACTTTTGTTACACAGTGAGTGTCACATTATTTACTTAATAGTACCTTTATGCATTGCCATATAAATTAAAAAGATGTTGTCTGGAGCCATATTTCTGAAATGCTCTTACTGATCATGTCACGTGACAATTCCTTCCATCGAATTCAAAATTTCAGACTGGCAAGCATTGTTTTAATGTATGCTGATCTGGGAGTCTCTGGCAGGTGATGTCATGTATTCAGCAGCCATATTTTAACAATATACAGGATTGATGGACCGCAAATACAAAGTCATAAAACTCAACTGCAAATTTTATTTTTCCAGATATGATGTTGAGTTGTATCAAAGAATAGAACAATTGATCAGTAAACAATTGCCATTGTACCCATCAGAAGAAGAAGATGTTATGATGTTGGTAGAACGAGTGACAGAAGCACAGAGATATGCCAGAATGGTAAGAATAGTAATCCCACACGTCTGTTGTGTAAATATGGTCCATCAACATAGTTGAATTGAAACTGATATCTTTATTATTATTACAGGAAATGACGGACAACGATGACAAGAAAAGGAAAGGCAGGAGAGGGGATTTTGATGATTCTGAAGAGTCAACTGGAATCAGGAAAAAATTTAAAATGAAAAAGAAATAAATTAACACTTCAACTATTAGATTTTTTTTTATATAATTTGTGAAAATCTATTAAAAATGGTGGCACAGCTATCCCAATTTACTTCCATGACTTGCAACTCCGTCATTAGTTCCTTGTATAATCTTCTAGTTAAATTCAGTTGGTTATTGGTCTAGATGTATTAATTGCACGAGGCGTGAATAAACACATGGCCATTACAGCATACACACATAACTTTATTTTTTTTCAATTATATACAGTAATAATATATACAGTTTGTTAAATATACAAAATTTGAATTTGCAAAGAAAAATTATTATAAAGCCTGGTTTCATGAATTCCCCATATAATAAAATAGTGAAATATGGCCGTCTTACTGAAGATTTACAGAATATCTTTATTACAGAGGATGTCATGTGAAAATTGGAGACAAAACGGCTTTCAATCTCACACCGTGAAAATTAATCTGATTATAACGGTTTCCATAAATGAAAGTTTGAAACAATTTTTATGAGAAACAGACTAATATTTTGACAAAATAGTATGGCTATTAGGGGGTTTAACTTTTCAGTTCCCTTTTTCCTCACGAAATGCCAGTAGTCCTGTTTATAGTCTGCACTTTCTTTATGAAAGATGGGACAAAAATAGATATTGACTCAAATCTGGTCTGTTAGTTCAAAAATTAGGGCGAGAAAGTGTAGCAAATGGTGATTGGCTATTATAAATTAAATTGTTGTATGATATTAGTAGTTGTCCGCAGTAGCATTGGAACTGAAGTGTTGTGATCGGTGTGCCATTTACCACTGTCAATATCTGCTGCAGGACTGAGAATAGACGAGGCAATGCTGTAAACAAAGAAAAAATTCCTTTTAATTAAAACTAAAACAAACTGACCCACAACAAGGGTGCTACCAATGTTTGAATATCAATCATATGTACACAGTCCTAAAAATGCCATTTTCTGATCACCAATCACTTTGTATATATTAACTATTATAAAAATAACAAAATCTCATCTCAAAGTAAGTATGTTTTACAAATACACTAAAAGCTGGTATGCATACTTACTTAGGCAACTTCAATAAATTAACCAGTTCGTTAGCTCGGCTAATCAGAGCTAGTTTGTCTTTCTCTTCTGATCTGTTATACTTTTGTTGTTGTTGTGATATCTTACTGAGACACAGTAACACTCTACTGATGAGATCTTGACATCGAGATGCAAGCTGTAAACGGATTTAAAAACAACTCATTGATATGAAACAGTCAATCATTCAAAGTAAATAAAACATGAAACAAATCTCACTATGCATGTGTGAAGATTGATTGGTCAAGGCAAAACCAATCGGCCATTTTGAATCGGATTTGAAAAACATGTGTAACTAAGGTCTGGTACCAAAATGGCAGAAATGTTTGTTTTTTGCACTAAAATGATCACTATACATAAACACATGTGACGAAAATTTTAATGTACTGTTTGAGTATGATTGAGCAAAGCTCTAAAAAAAAATTCATTAAAACAAAAAGGCCACCAGTCAATCATTTTGAATCCGATAAGAAAAACAAACTGATGTATCAAGATCCCAACGAAATCGGTCCATATTAGACCGAGATCCATGATGTACGTGTTTGAATGTGATCGGTCCAGTTCGAATGAAAACAAGAGAGTGCTATTACATGTGGTTGTCACCAAAATATTTGATTGAACGAAATGAGCTTTTGTAGTCTGTTTTATTTTGTCTGCCAATTTGAATCTTTTCCAAGTATATTGATCGAATATACAGATTGTACCGTTTATCAACAATTTTTAATATTAATTCCCTTAACCACAATAGATCCTGTCATGCATTGCTGTTTTGAATGTTGCTTCAGGTGCACTTAAACACAAGTAGTACAAATAGTCAATTCAGGAGGAAGGGCTTTACACAAAGAAACTCTGAATATTGTGTTCCATCCTTGATTGATGAACAGAGAATCTTGCTTGATAGAGATGACCTTCTAAGATACTGAATCTATAAAAATGGGCATGTATTGTATGGATTTTATTCCCACTGATTGTTGAAGAGTTGGATATAAAATAAAGGGAAAATAGTATATTCACCAGATGTTACTTTTACTGAATCATCCTTACAGTGCAAATAAAATTGTTAACAGTAGGCAGGAAATTAAATTCTGAGTTTATACCATGCATATTAATTAACAACAAAATCTTGCCAGCTTGCTTGTTTGAAGTAATTCGACATGAAAAGAGTTGTAATATACGTGTATTACCTTAGCCATTGCTGACATAAGTACAGTTAACAATCTGACAGTATAATGGACAGTATCACTGGTGTCTGCTGATATCTCATAACTCAAGGTTTCTAATGCCTAGTTAAATACACAAATTAACACAATTGATATAAACAAAGATTATTTTTGTTCTAGATTCCATGAATAATCAAACACAGGTGCCATACAAAGGCCTTAGTTTTATGATGATGAGGGGACCGGGAATCTCACATTTGTATCTTGCATGCATGCAAGCATGCACATGGATGGGTTTGTAAAAAAAATGATCGTTCGCACCCAAAGATAATATAAAAGAGTCGTTCATATTAATGTTCGCGTATCTAACGAAAACATGTATGGGCAATGTTATCACAGCAGATTACAAGCCTGTGCTGATCAGTAAGTGACATTTGATATCACACATTGGCATATTTGATATCACACATTTGCATGCTGGTCACAGTGAGATGGCCTATACTAGTATATATTAGAATATCTCCTGTCTGCCTAGAAAAGACATTTATTACAGTTTTTGTCATTCCAGTAGATTGCAATAAAAAAACTGGAGTGGAAGGATGCATTGGTGGATGCGGGAGTATTTACCTCATAGTATTTAGATATAATTTCAGGCGTACACCTTTCATCATAGACACTAGAACAATATTCACCAATCAACCATACCTAAAATAGATCAGTATTCCTTTAATTTTGAGTAATTGTTAGCTATATAGATGGTGCTTTGTTGGCCATCTATCCATGGAAAAATTGTTCTCAAATATCTTAAAAATAATGCCATGCCATGTAAGACCATTCATTAGGAATATCACAAGTTCTTGACGAAGCTTTATTTTTAAGATGAAACGTTGAAATAAATGTTATCGATCAAGCATAGCACATAGTCATAACTAAGACCAAACCCAATACATAATTTGGTTTTACTAACTGTAAGTATTTACTAGCTTGTCTATAAATGTGTTCTGTCCTTAGCAGCTCTATGAAAACTATATGTAAACAGGCCGCACACAAACGTATATGCACAGTTTACGACAACAGTGTTCTGATTTCAAACCTACCAGATGAATAAAGAAATCCTCCCTGTCATTAACGTTTCTGAGTACACAGATAAAATCTATGATATCAGATCTTAACAGAATAATTAGACTTGGATACAGTTTAAACATCGCCAATATATTATCAGCCAGCACTCTGAAATAAAACAATTTAGAGAAAAATCAAATAGAACTATCAATGGAAGAATGATGAATCACAAACTAGAACACACCTCTACTACTGATGATATCATGTTCAGACAGTTCTCATCTGGAGGGATTTTTCAACCAATTAGAGTGCATCTTAGTAAACAGGCTCTGTCACTTTGAGAGCAGTTACACAAGTTCTGATTGGCTACTGATACTATGTGATCAGAACTTGATTTGTGTTGGTGGTCAGATGTTGCTTGAGTGGTGCAGTGCAATGGTGATCTTACACATGCAGCCAAATATTACTCTACTCTTTAAGTCAATATGACTCCCACACTATCACACAGAGATTAGCTGTGATGTAACTACCAGTAGTTGTGCTAATTCACTGATGTGTCATTCTCATAACAGAAAACCACACATTGATATAGTTATCTTGAAAAAACATCTTTACTAAAGTTACAGAATTTATAATTTGGTAAAACAAAATTCATTTTTTCTGAACAAAATAAGTCAAATTTACATATGGATGTCATAATATTATTTACATACCTTCTGATAGACTGTTGGTAGAAAGGCAACCCGTATATCTGTCCAGACCTCTCAATGATCACTGGCACTAGTTTACACACTAAGTCAATGTCTGCATACTGCAATAATGTCTGGAAATACAAACTGAACAAACAATACATTGCGTTACCATGACAGCCCAACAACTGTAGTTTATCCAAAAATGGTCAGAATTCAACAGGGATAATGTCTGTACTACTAAATTTAATTCAGGTCTGATTTGATTCAATTGTAAAATAAATAAGTAATAAAATCTGCTGATGATTATAAGCATGTAATAAATGTGAGCAAAATTTTGAAATGGTAAAAAGAATTTTAGAATATTTTTAACACTAAAACGGCCACCAATCAGCCATTTTGGGTTGGATTGCAAAGCCAAGTGGTGGGCACCTGTAAACCATGCCGTTTGTATGTATGTAATTGGTCTAAGGAAAAAGATATTATACAAGTATATACTAACTTGAGTAGGACTGGCACACCTTGTGAACACACTGTCACTCTAGGATGCTGTTTCATATCATCTAACAATTGATGCAATGTACTCAACCTGTCAAATAATAATACTCAATTCAATTAACTGTACAAAGGGCAAATATTTTCAATCAAGCAAGCAACACCAAACTTTTCATTTAAAAAATAATATTTGTGTGCCAGGAGAGTGTTTTCTACCTTGCATGTCACTTATTTGTTTGGCACAGTTTTTTTCTCATTCATCTCAGGTATCCATGAAGGCTTTCGGTAGCGATATGTTATGTACAAAGTGAAGCAAGGGAACAGATGATTGCATCATGGAAATTTAACGTCAACCAGACCTGGTCACACACGCAACTGTGCACCATTAGTTGGCGAATTTTAGCCTACCCATTGAATCTATGGCATACACCCCCCCCCCCCTCCCAAAGGTATTGGCCAACCCCTATTTGTTATTCTATTAGTAAATATATCCTGTTTTGTCAAATGTCTGATGTTGTAAACTGACCAACCAGACAAGAATCATCATGAGATACGCTACAAACTTACCTGTCAATGGTATCACCATGACCACCTTCCATTCGTGTTAGGAAGTGAAATAAGGGCCTATGTCTTGGCGTGAGATAGGCTTCCAATGAACTACCGGGTATAACCGCGATATCACCTCCAGTCCTGCTGGGTGCAGTAGATTCAAATCGTTCAGCTTTGCACATGACTTCTAATGCTGCTGACATACACGGCAAATCAACCAATGTATGAAACACCTACAGACGAAAAAATCAATCTGAATATGGGTGTGGTGTGGTAACACTTGAAAAGGTATGGTTATGTGAACAAAAGTGAGCGAGATAATCGCTATGTTCAAAAAAGAGAAAAAAAATGTAATACAGTGTAAATGAACACTTAGCAATCTGAACAATTTCAAATTATAATCTGCATTGCACATATCACACAAAATTAAAAAATCACTTGAATTATCTTGGATGCAAGAATGATTGATGATGATTGAAAGATGATGGACATCAATGATAGATGATCTTGGGATATGGCAAAAGTTGGGACTATATTGGTACATGTGTGTGTGTGTGAATGATCAGAATAAGGGCGACACATGCCGAAAATCTTGGTCAGGACCAAAACTCAGCACATGCCAAGAGTTGCTGCCTGAAAGCTCAACATGAAACGAAATCACACCCTCAGTGGTGAATTTCAGAGAACATGCATATACTAGTATGACATGATGATGGCGGGAAGTGCAGCTATATATGGTTGGAATGAAATGAATGCCAACCGTTATTAGTTTTTTTTGCAATGTCACATCAACATGAAAAACCATTGATGTGCATGTTGACTCATGCTAAATATCATAACAGGAAAGGGATATGATTTCTATAAAATAATTATTATTATCATCATATATGTATCATCCACCATGCTTTGGTTAACCAACAGATCAAAGAATGAGGGAGTGATTTTCGACACGAGCTGAGTGGGTCCCGATGGTGGGTTCCGACTAATGTGAACGCAACTGCTGTAATCTCTCTCCAAACATGAAAGATTACAAAATGTTGGCACATGCCATGATCCAGTACCATGGACGTAGTAATTGTGTATTCTGTTAACAATTATAAAAATAAAAAAGTTTATTCACCTCTATGGCTGTTGTAGCTGAAACCATTGAAGGTAGAATATCAACAAAATCAGACAGAAAAGTTCTTGAATTCCACGCTAGAATCTGAAAAGTTATCAGCATACCGGTAACAATAATTACATAAACAAAAAAACATATAGCTATACATGTACTTATTTCAATCAAAAATTACTTTAATTATTACACTATAATGAGTATGCTAAAGATATGGTTTAGCGGACTCTAAACCAAACTTTGCTATTTGTAGCGCATAACTGACCAGGAATGCATTTGTCATGATTAGGAGATTTTATTAACAAGCAGCCTCCTGGCTGAGATAGCTCTCCTGTTAGCAAGGCACATTTTAATTGCAGAATTAAAGATAACATCATGAAATAAACAAATCTGAGAGAGGTCCACCTGAGGTACCTATATATGTAATATCAAAGCAATTGGACTTGCGGTTTTCAACAAGAAGTCGAAAATATCACTTTTTACCAAAAATTACAAAAATATTCACCAAAATTAGAGAATTAAAGAAATCATTACAAAATGAACAAATCTGAGAGAGGTCCACATGTAGTACTTATATATGTAATATCAAAGCAATTGGACTTGCGGTTTTCAACAAGAAGTCGAAAATATCACTTTTTACCAAAAATTACAAAAATATTCACCAAAATTAGAGAATTAAAGATATCATAAGTATAATATGTATAATATCAAAGCAACTTGCATTTTTCAACAAGAAGTCAAAAATATCACTTTCTACCAAGACAAAAATATCAATCAAAATTAGAGAATTAAAGATATCATCATGAAATAAATATACACTAAGTATCAAAACAATCAGACTTGTTGTTTTCGAGAAGTAGTTGAATACATAAAAAGTTGACAGGGATGATAGACAATTAGACGAGGGTTCTCCGAACCCGCCTATTCACATAGTTCATACCCACCATAGATTCCGTAGGCATTAATCAGCGATTCTGCCGGTGACGGAGAGATAGAATCCAGGTCAGGGGAAGCCCCATGACCACAGGGAGCCCAGGAACTATTAATCAACTGTAATACGCAGTCTCTATGAGCGGGGGGCGGGGGGGGGGGGGGTATCGGCTGGTATCTAGTGTAAGAAATAGACAAGGGATGAAGGCTCCAGCCAGCTCACATTTTTTAAACTCGAAAAAACAGACGAAAAAAATAAAAAATAAAATCTAAAAAAAATACCAGGTTGAAGAATATTAGTTGCTCCTTCGAATTTCGCCAAAGCCTTACCTACATTTTACCGATATCTGCAGAATAAATCAAGAAAACTACACAAATTTAGGCGTACACAACGAAGTGGGTCCACGGGGCTAGCAAAGCGACCCTGGCCCAGGCTCCTGGAGTCAGCAGGAGTGTTACGTACGTCCGGAGCTTTGCGTTCCGGGGTGCGGCAAAACGGTCCAACCTTGGACCGTCCCACGGCCGAAACAGCCTAGAGGCTACCCACTGGGGTATCAGCTACTCCGTGTTCTGGAGACGGAGCCGCCCTGAAAGGGCGTCGCCAGACTGCTCCTCAGAGCAGGACTCTGTGGTCTCGAACTACGGGTAGAAAGCGTGGTAGTGCTAAGTACACTGCTCTCAGTTCGAGCCGGTTGATATGGTAGTCCCGAAACTAATGCGGGGCCATATCCTTGGGCTTGTTGGCCCAATAGATGCGCTCCCCAACCCTAGGGGGCGGTATCTGTTACCAGAGTCATACCTGCGGCGAGCGGGCCCAAGGGGCTCCCCTGTCCGAGGTTGGCCAGTTACGACCACCAGGGCAGGACTTCCTTCACTTGGTCAGAGATCGAAACCTGCCTATCTAGTTCCCATAGGAGAGCTCGGCATTATAACAAGCGTTATACCAGGCGGCTGCGTAGTGCGGCTTGGAAAACGACCCTTCGAACCGAGGTCATCATTTCGATGATCCGTATTAGTTCACAGAGGGACACCGAGGGAACGCTGACTAGGCATTTCGGGCTATGCTGCTTAGCGGCTAAGCAATACGCTTGAAATAGCTAAGCCAAGCTTACCTCTGTGTCAAAACTCCATGCCCAGG